TTTTTTTTATATATATTCACAAACAACCTGGAATGGATTAGTTATCTCAGCTAGTTTCACATTATTAAATTTTGGGACTCTTTGGGGTTCTGGGACAAATTGGGCATTTACAGAACTTCCCAGAATTCACAAAAAAATTTAATATTTTTAAAATTATGCATTTTAGCAGCCTATTATGTCTGGAATCTCAGATATCCTGAGGCAATGTGTATCAATCATTGGAAAGCCTTCTTTATTAAGATGCTTCCATGTTTTGTAATAGGATTGTGGTAAGCTATGTATAGCACACTCAAAAATGGCTAATTTCAAGGAAAAAATTGTGTTCATGGCAATGAATTGACATTCCTTAATATGTTAATGAATCATGATTGAATCTGGTTCCCTTTTTTTCAACTCATATAGAACGCATTTTAAACAAAAGCACATGGATCAGATAAATATAAGTTCAATGAATTATTCCAGTGTGTATCTTCTGATATTTTAAAATTGAATGTGAACTGCTGTCAAATTTAACTTAGTAATCGTGCCTCTTTGTGTAGCCTGGACCATTTTTGCTTTTGTTTCTCTTTAATTGCCCTTTCTTCAGCAATCTCAACTCAAAATCAAGTACAGTATATACACTTATGGTAGTCAGCGACATCTATGTACGTAAAGACTCTTCTCAGTTTTAAACGTTTACACAGAAGATGAACTGAGCGCAATGCTTTTTTAATGGATTAACGGACTCTGCAATTAATCAGTATTCAAATTTTATATTAAATTAAAAAAACACGAATATGGCCAGGTTAAGTTGACGTTAGCTCAGATTTTCAAAGCCAGAAGCAAAAACACTTTTATTAATGGAGAAAATCAAGGATGGGGACAAAAATCATAGCTTAGTCCTGTATTAGGAATTTTTTAAATGTATTCTGTGGCACAGATTAATTGCATTTTTTGTATCACCGCAATTTTTGAATAACTTTTTGAGGGCATGCCCTGAAATTTTTTGAGATTTAAAGCTCAAATTTCGGGGGATTCGTTGCATTCGTTGTGGTTAGATATGAACTTTTGGATGATGATCAAGTTCTCTTGGAATATTATTCATAATATCACTGATGATTTTTTTTTTT